GGAAGACCGTAGAAGAATTGATGCTTTTGAGTTTGGTGTTGGAGGAGAATATTGATCAGATCAGATGTGATTATCCCATGTGCTGTAAGTCCACACTTCCATGACATCTGGTGTGGTGCTGTAGGATCAGCATTAGACTTCAAACCACAAGGTTGGCAGTTCAAACCCATCAGCTGCTCCTCGGAACCCCTATACAGGGTAACTATGAGTCAGAACCTCCTTGACAGCACTTAACAACACCATTATGTTAGTGAGATTGGGTGCAATCAATAGGATTAGCTTGTATCTTGGTCTTCTAGTCTCTTAAACTATGAAAGAATACATTTTTATTTGTTAAGTACTAGACAAGTACAAGTGCTTGTCTAGTTCAAACTCACCAGCTGCTTCTTGGAATCCCTGTACAGGGTCACTATGAGTCGGAACCTACTCAACAGCACTGAACAGCAACAACAGTATGATGTTAACGAGGTCTAATGCAACCTGTAGGATTAGGTTCTATCTTGAGTCTGTCTCTTGAGATTTAAAAGGAAAGTCAAGTGAGCAGAGAGAGATCTACTACCACTAAGAAAGAAGAACTGGGAGGGGCGTGCTTTCTTTGGACCTGGGGTCACTGCTCTGTGAAACTCTCAGGTCCAGGGGAAGACTGGAGCGGAGACACAGAGATCTCCAAGGCATGCTGGGCCTGCTGACATTGACAGGAGACAAGGACCCATAGCAGGCACTTTGAATTTGGATTTCTAGCCTCCTGAACTATGAGAGACCTGGTGTGGCGCTGTGGGTTAATGCACCAGACTGCAAAGCCATTTGAACTGCAAGGTTGGTGGTTCAAGCTCACCAGCTGCTCCTTGGAAATCCTTTACAGTGTCGCTATGGGTCAGAACTGACTCTACGGCACTTAATAACAACAACAAACTATGAAAGAATTAATTTCTATTTGTTAAAGCCTATTTCTTTGAACCAACTCAATGGTAACTGGTTTTTCTATGAATGACCTTTTCTACCATATACCTTTATCTACCCTGATTGTTTTATTCCGTGCTTTAGACACAATGCCTGATGTCTTAATTCTCTCATGCTGCTATAACAGAAATACAAGTGGATGGCTTGATCCTAAGAAATAGGCTTTAAATCTTTAAATTCAAAGAGGGCAGATCATGGACACGTAGCCTCAATCCCAGCCTGGCCTCCATCCTGTCAGGGAGTAGAACATGAGACTCTTGTCTTCAGTGACGGCTGTGACCAAATTCTCTGTCTTTATTCCCAAACCACTGACCCCAAATCTCCCGGACCCCAAATCATAAAAAAAAAGACTCTAGAGTACAGAGGTTGTTGTTGTTAAGTGCTGTTGAGTTGGTTCTGACACACATCGACCCTATGCCACTGTATAGGGTTTTCGAGAAACAGTTGGTGGGTTTGAACTGGAAACCTTGTGGTTTGCAGTCCAGTGCCACAATAAGAGCTCAGAGGTGGGGAGAGAGAAATGCCATTTCTTTACCTTTTCTCAGTATCTTCCTCCTGCTTCGGTAACTACGGACAGGCACTCTTCCCCCACCAGCCCAGGCAGCACCACTGTCATTATGTTTCCCAGATGGAAACTTCCCGTTGGACCAGGCACTCCTGAAGAGCGTATTTAATGAAATGGGAGGGTGGAACTTAATTGCTTTTTCTGTCCCACTGCCCCCTACCCCCAGCATTCTAAGTCTATCTTTTGTGCACACACAACGTTCCAATAGTGTCAGAGAATTTAATTGCTGCTATAGGAAAGAAATAAGCCTTTTTTGATGGGTTTGGCTGGCGATAGAGAAGAATCACTTAAAAGCATAGTCCATGATTCTAAGGGCAGCTCTAATGGGCCAATTTCATGTTCCTGGTACATCTGTAGTCACATGAGGTATGGTGAGCCCCAGGAGCTGTGGATCTCTCAGTATGGGAGAGGGTGCAGGCGGGTGGGAGGGACTGGAATCGCGTGTTCCCGCCAAGACAAGGCGGACATCGGTGGTCTGGGATAAGATGACGTGTAGATGCTTTCCCTGGGGCTGGCCTTGGGTTCATGCCACCTCAGCTTCAGCTGCTCATAGAGTCCATAATTCGTAGGGGGAGCTGCAAGAGAAACCAGGACTGAGAAGAGAGGTCTTGCCCCGGAGGGTATGGAGAATGAACAAGTGGGGTCTGCAGTTTTACGCAGGTTTTGCTGTATCAGGGTTCCAGGTGGCTCTGCTCCAGAAAGGGAGGAGGTGGGTTTCCTGGAGGGTCTTGTACAGCCAGCCCCTGAGACCCTCAGGGTACGGCCTGCTCCCTGGACACTTGAGAAGGACCAGGCATTGCTCCAAAGTCTGCCTGACAACCTGTCTTGAGGAGGGCTCTTGTGGCACCGTTCCACCCCACTAGGAATTGAAGCAGTGTTGGCTGTGATGGTGATGCTGAGGAGAGGCACATGGAGATGTAGTGTGGAGTGACAAACAGTGCTCTCCCTGACCATCTCCATGTGTACCAAAGATGACCTCCTGCCTCCCGGGTAGGGTGGAAGTAGCTTGAACTATAAACCAGATTTACACTTTTACATAAATCCCTCCAAAACCTCACACCATTGTGGACACCACACAATCCATAACCCCTATTAAAGTCTATGAGTCCCTTGTAAGACCCTGTCCACTCCTGCATGACAGCTTTTGAACTTGGTCTTTCTCCTTTTGAAATGCTCTTCTTAACCTTTGCATTGTTTTCTTCTTCTTGCCAGTCAGGCCTCAGATCAGCTAACGTCTTCACTGAACATCCTGCTAAAGGAAGGTCACAGAGACCCTGCCTCATTTCTTATTCACTACCAGCTGCTCCGCGGGAGAAAGATGAGGCTTTCTACTCCCAGAAAGATTTACACCCTCGGAAACCCTGTACAGGGTCGCTATGGGTCGGAACCGACTCCACAGCACATAACAACAACACTGTTGCTGCTTTCTTATTTATGAAATCTTCAGTTATCCACAATCAGTACTCAGTCAAGAAATCAAACAACATATTGCATTAGGCAAATCTGCTGCACAAGACCTCTTTAAAGTGTTCAAGGGCAAAGGTTTAAGGACTAAGGTGTGCCTGACCCAAACCATGGTATCTTCAATAACATCATGTGCATGTGAAAGTTGGACAGTGAGTAAGGAAGACTGTAGAAGAATTGAGGCATTTGAAGTATGGTGTTGGAAAAAGGTATTAAATGTATCATTGTTGTTGTTAAGTGCCGTCGAGTCGGTTCCCACCCATAGCGACCCTAAACAGGGTTCCCAAGGCCGTAAATCTTTACGGGAGCAGAAAGCCTCACCTTTCTCCCGCGGAGCAGCTGATACTTTCTAACTACTGACCTTGCGGTTCACAGGCCGATTCGTAACCACTACGCTACATAGACCGTCAGAAACAAACAAATCTATGTTGGAAGAAGTACAACCAGATTACTCCTTAGAATCCAGGATGGCAAGAACTTGGATATATTATCAGAAGGAGCCAGTCCCTGGAGAACGACATCATGCTTGGTAAAATGGAAAATGGGGAAGGCCCTCAAAGCAATGGATGGACACAGTTGCAGCAACAATGAGCTCAACTGTAAAACATTTGTGACTATGGCGCAGGACCAGGCATTGTTTCATTCTGCGCATGAGGTCACTGTGAACTAGATCTGGCTCAAGGGCACCTAAAACATCAACAGAGTTATCTTATACATTGCTGCTGCTGTTGTTACGTGCCTTTGAGTCACTTCCAACTCAGTGACCCTGTATAAGGTTTCCAAGGACTGGTTGATGAGTTAGAACCACCAACCGTGAGGTTCAAATCCACCTTTCGATCCAGTGTTTAGCCTACAGCGCCATATCTCCTCCACTGAAATGTCAGCTCCCGAGGACAGCAATTTCTCAGTGTTTGTCACTACTGTGTCCCTGTGTCCAAAGGCTGGATCTGACACATGGGAATCAGTCAGTCCCAATTTATGCCTTGGTGGCACAAGTTAGTGCTTGGCTGCTAACCATGAGGTTGGTGGTTCAAACCCACCTGGCTGCACCACAGAAGAAAGACCTAGTGATCTGTTCTCATAAAGACTACAGCCCAATAGGGCAGTTGTATTCTGCCATGTAGGTTGTTTGATCGGTTACATCCACAGGATTTCCACTGTGTGATTTTCAGAAGCAGATCACCAGACCTTTCTTCCTATTCTGTTTTAACCTGAAAATTCCACTGGAACCTGGTCAACACTGACTTGATGGCAGACAACAAGAGAACACCCTTTTGAATGAAAGACTGGTCCTGATGTTGTATGGTGGTATGGTCCTCTGCCACCTGCCTTCCAGGTAAATGTGCTGCAGCCACGATGATCCCTGGTGGTGTGAGAAGTGGGCAGGTGGTAACCCTACAGGAGAAATCGGATTCATTCCCTTCGAGTTTCCCTCCAACAGTCTCCCGAAGCCCATGACTACCCATGTGAGGTTCTTCTGCAGAAGTGGGTCCAGCCCTCTATCTCGAGCAGTTCTAGGCCCTGTGCAACCCACACAGGAGAAAATTCTGATCGAGAAAGTACCAAGAAGTGGGAAGTCTGTCTTCTCTGGTAGCCACAGCAACTTTTGTCCATTCCAGACACGTTGGTTGGGCAGACCAGGGTTGTAGTTGTGCCGGTTGTAATGGTCATCATAGGTGCTGATAAGATAGCGGTGCATCGCCTCCTGGTGGTGGGTGATCAGGTGTCCATACGGGAGTCCCTGGAAGAACAGACACATTAGGTGCATTACTTATCAAAGCCAGGCAGTCCACCAGCAGTGGAAAGGTCTGTGGTCTCTGGTGTGTCCACCTGAGTTCTTAAGACCATCAACAGAAAGACACACTTGCTTGTCCCACCCTGAGAAGGCCACCTTCAAACACATGCTCCAACATGACTGCAGTCATCTATATAATATCCCTCCCCTAATACCAAATCAATTAATCCCTAGAGTAAGCTATGGGGTCATGCTGAAATTAAAGTCAGAACGCTCAGCTGTGTGGTGAGCCAGTGCACATCACCACAGGCCTTTGTGATCTGAGATGATGCCCTTTGATTTGTCTTAAGTCTCATTGCGTTGAGTGCAGATTTCTAAGGGGAAAAAAGACATGCATACCAGGCCTGACACGTACGCCGTATATTTCAATCGGTTACTAGGGGGAGAATCAGAGAGCACCCCATAAATTGTCTTCTTCTACAAAGGATTTACAGCCCCCCTCAGCTGGAAACCAAGGGAGGGATTTCTTTGGTGGGGGGTTATTTACAGGGAGAAGAAAGCCAGGTTTCGCCTTGCTTTGAGACATTTGCCTGAATCAGTGATTTCCAGGCTGATTTACAGGGGAGGTTAATGTTGATTTCCATGCCGATCCTCTTGTCTGGAGCAGACAGGGAGGGCTGTGTCTTCTATGGTCTGGAAATGCTAGCTGGAACCAATATTTCAAGTGGTAGTTCCATAAATAATTCAGATTACAATGCCCAAGGGAGACAAGGGGATGGGTACAGACAATTAAGCAGGGGTTCCCAAGTTGTACATCACCAGGTGCCCCCCAGTATCTTTCCTGTGCCAGGGAAAGTGAGTTGGAGGATTTCTCATCAAGAAAGGGCAATGCTAAGGAGGCCAGTGGCTCAGCAGGGATTGGAGAAAGGCCAGCAGAGACTTTCTAGCCCCTTCTCTTGGTGTTGGACACCACAATCCTCACTTTCTATGGGGGTAGACCTGGGCTCCATTCTCAGCCACTGTGCCTCCATGCACATTCACCACCTATCTGTCAGTGGAAACTGACATGCTGCTCAGATATTGAATGTTTTAGGAGAGCTTTCTCGACTAAGACAGACCAGGAAAAAATGCCTGACTACTTACAAAAACCAGTCAACAAAAGAACCTATGCATCACAAGAGTGGTCTGCAACCCCTCACGCAAAGTGTTTCTGTTTTTCCCAAGTATGCAATTTGTTTTTATTCACAATACCCTATAAAAATGTAAATTTAGAAACTTTTATTTTCCTTAATTAGAACCAAACTAAAAAGATAAAGCACAGCGAGGGAGAAAGAATAATTAAGTGTTCACTTGATCTGTTTGTTGTGAAGGACGGAGTCAGTAGATGATGAGAGAGGGAAGCCTGGTCCTGTCGCTGGGCAATGACGGGTGGAGCCTGGGGGGGCTACAGAGCGGGGACGTGGAGACAGAGGACAGAGCATGGAGAACAGAGACAGCTGGCTATACCGGAGGATTTTACTGTTGTACAAGACATGTATGTGCAAAATGTTTTCTCTCTTTAAAAACATAACCTGTCCTCTCCACTACATTTCAAAAGGTGATAACAGCAGAAAATAGATTCAGACAGTCAGGTAAAATGCATTCAGGTTGAATTTTCTGAAGGGCTGCAATCACTAGGTATTCTAACCAGTGTCCTGGCTGATTGGTGAATGGAGAGGGGTAAGTGAAGAGGCTCACAGCAGGCTGCCTTGCTAGACTTCAATGCCAAGCCCAGGGCTGGCTGCCTGGGAATGGGACCTGGGTGAGGTGGAGGAGCAGGGACAGCAGTTTTGCTTGTGGTGTGGACGTGAGTGGCAAAGCAGGCCAAGCTTATCTCCTATGGTTACATTTGGTGTCTTTACCCATGACAGAAAATCACAGCAGGCACAGAGAAATAAAAGCATGGCTTGTTGAAGTCACCTCAGGAAGACAAGACAAGGTGAGTGTGCAAAAAGTTACACTGCAGAAATAGCTCTCATTGAGGGTAGGTCTGAGTATTCCAGAACACACACACGAGGGAGTGGGCTTAATGAACCGTGTGCTGTTTTTGCTGAGGTGGGCAGAAACAAGAGAAGTGCAGGTGTGGAAGAGAGTCTGGACCCCTCGGTCTAGAGATGGGTGCCAGACACCGGAGAGCTCTGGTTTTATTAAATGTACTGCACATTCTGTGTTTATAGTCAAACAAGTAGAGCCACCAAATCAATTATAAGATGGAACAGAAACAAGAAAAATACTGTCATCAGAGGAGAGCTGTGGCACTAAATATTTTCCAAGTCTGAACTCCTTCTTAATGGACCCTTTGGAGACCTCAGAAATGCAAGTCACGGGGAGTGTGGAGTGTGTGTGTGTGTGTAGATACGTATCAATTTCCAGTTGGCTCTCCTATAGGCATATTAAGATCGGGCGATGAAGAAAGAGTTCAGTAGGATGAGAGAAGGAAGCCTTTGGCAGGCTACAATCTATCTGAACTGGAATCGTGGTGGTGGGATGATGGAAGAGTGAGTAAAAGCAGGGCCATGCAGAACTGGAACTGAGAAAGTAAGGAAGAAACCAGCAGAAGTGGTACCCAGGCAAACCTCAGAGAGCAGTAGGGAAATCCCTGGCATTGAGAGACAATCCCTGCAAACAGGAATCGATCCCACAAGACTTTCGTTTTGGGAACTCAGCTACCTTCTCCCCCCTCCCCCCCCATTAAAAACACTCCAGTGCTGATGGTAGCAGTGCAGGTGGCAGCCCAATGGTGTCCTGGGGGCATTTGGAGATCTTTTATTATATTCCCTGAATGAGCTGCAGTTTTGTCTCCAGCAAGTTCAGTTTCTGTCGATCAACATAGCACGAAAAGAGAGACACTAGGTTTGTGGACCGAGAATTAGGCAGCGTTTCATTCCATTGTGCAGAGGGTGTCAGGCATCAGGGGTAACTTGATGGCAGTTAACAACACAGATCATCTACTCACATGGATAATAAAGGGTTAAAGTTTGAGGAGCCAATGCGCAGGGGAAGGTCTGAATGAGACCTGTTCTGTTTTCCCAAGAGGCGACTGGTCCTATAAGAAGTGGGCTGGGGTCCCCTGGGTGAGGGGCTGCTACTCTCTCTTACCTCCACTCTCCTCTTCGAGTACCACCTGGAGATCAGGTCTGGTCTGTGGTCAGGGAAGGGGACATACTCCTTTCTGTAAATGCACTGGGGTGTTTTCTCAGTGGTTCTGGTAAACTGGAAAAGACCAAACATCCCAGAGAACCTCTCTGACACCCTTTCTTAGGCATCTGCCGAGCTCCTCACTTTCCAGGCCCTTGGAAGACTGGAAGACAGAGAATAAAGATGAGCCCCAGGCATCCTGCACAAGGAAGCTGAATTCTGCCTCCCATGTGAGTGTCTGGGGCTGGCATACCCTCCAGGAGCTCTGGGAAGAGCCATGATTGATGCCTCTTGAGCACTTCTCATTGTTACCACTGATTTCCTTTCTCAACTTTTCTCTATCCACTCATCTTTCTTGCTTACCTTCTCCCTTCCTCTTCTGCTTTGTCCCTCCCACTCTTCCAGCCATTCCCTGTGGTGGTACTGTGGGTTAGGCATAGGACTGCGATTTGCAAGACCAGTAGTTCAAACCTACCAGCCTCTCTGTAGGAGAAAGATAAAAGTGTCTGCTTCTGTAAATATTTACAGACTTGGGAATCCTAAGGAGCAGTTCTATCTGTCCTATACAGAATCGTCCTGAGTCAAAATTGACTCAATGGCAGTAGGTTTGGGTTTTGTAGATGGAAGAGAAGCCCATAATATTCCTGGGTACTAGCTTTCCCAAAGGAGCCTTAAAGGACTGCTTAGCCACCTTCTCCCTTTGTTCTTCTTACCCTTAGGACTTCCCTTACACAACCTGTCTCCAAACAGGTGCAATCAGGGAGAACAACAGCCACAGGCCATATCTGGCCAGAGGAGGGGCCAATGCTAATGTTCCCAGGAAAACAACTTCTTTGTGTTCTCAGAATCTTCTCAAGTCACATGCGTTGGCACCTCCTTTTCCTTGCCCATTTTCCAGGAACATGGTGTCTCTGAGCTCAGTCTTGCCAGCCAAAATGACAATGTTTAATTTGAGGTAGGCCAGGTCAGACAAATTAGTTTCCTATGGCCTTTAAAGCACAGAGGCACCTCAGAAGTCTATTTGTTTCATTTGGAAAATAAAACTTCAAATACATGGGAAGGCAGGGCTATAGACCACATACCAGAGAGCAGCAGTCTGCCCTGGGCATCAAGGCAGCATGGAGCCAAGCCTGCCTCAGAAGGTGCTGGAAGAACCAGGCCAGGAGAGTGGGCATTCTTCAAATCAAGGAGCAGAGACATTGGGAATGAGAAACATCTCGACACCTAGAAACACTCTACCGAGGACAGTCTTAAAAGGCACAGTTCTCTTGACACCTTGGCAATGGTGTTTTCAAGATAGACTAGGGACCTAGTGATGGTTCAACATGACTCCCTCAGTGGAGACCAGCTACCTGTGGTCCTTGGTTTGGAAACAGTGTTGAACCTCCTTCTCTACCTCTCCCTACCAGTTCCTTCTCTCTCCCCTCCCCTCTCATCCTCCCACCTCTTTCCTTACCTTGCTCCTCTCTTCTGCCCAGTTCCCAGTGAGCACACGGGTGGAATACTTGGGCTCGATGTTCCAGCTGGGAGTGGAGCATGTCTGTGGGCTCACCGTTCGCACAAACATGGCCAGGGCTCTCCCCAAGTTAATTTGGGACACTTTCAGGCTTCTAGAGGTTGTGCCAGAGTGGCTGAGTTTGGGGTATTCGACACCCTGCTAACTTTGAAGACATAAAGGATCTAGTGTCTACTCTGGGCCTCCAGGGAGAGACACAATGATCTTGGATTCCCTACTGTTGACTGTCTCCATGGTGATAGACTCTGGCTATAAATGTTCTCCTTAAGGGAATGGCTGATTCTGCAGGAGCAAAACCAACACCAGAAAAATGAATCAAACTAACCACTTCCACCACCAAATCAGGGCCCACAAGGACTGGTCCCTTTGTTGTTGCCCTGAGAAGGCCAGCCATTGTTGTTGCTGTGGAGACCAGCTGCGATGATCTCATTACTGCTACTTAAAAAGTATTTATGTTTACACCAAATAAAAGATATTTACATGTATTCACTGATTTAATCCTCATAGTAGCACCATGGGGTAGAGCCACTATTATACCCATTTTATAGATGAAGACACTAAAGTAAAGAGAGAGTAGGTAGCTGCCTAACTCCCACAGCTACCACAAGGGAGAGCTTGGAATGTAAATACTCCCACTGTGACTGACTTCAAGCTATGAACATGACATCCCATTGGTTCCTGCACACTGGATCCAAAACCACTGATTACAATCCACATTTTAAAAAGTCCTCTACTAGAGGAACAGAAGATATTTGTTGAAAGAAAGACCAGCAAGAAAAATCCAAAACAAAATGGCAGTCTGATTGGCTACTACAAGAACAAGCAAGTTGTTTGCTGGGGAGCCATCAAAGCAAACGATCAAGTCCCTTCAGGACAAATCCCCCTCCAAAACTCAAAGGGAACACATGAGTAGGCACGTAAGCTTGCTGGTGACCACATTGGTCTACAGGTGAGTGGAAGAGGGGGAAAGACAGCAAAGAAGATATGGGCTGAATTTGACCACGTTCCATAGACTTCCAGTGACCTGGAGATGAGAGAGAGAAGAGGAAGGGCTGGTTGGTCCAAAGTATTGTGAGACCTGGGGACTCCTGAGCTCATCCATGGACAAGGACATAGTCACAGAGGGCTAGAGCTGAGAGTGAAGTGTCCAGCTGATATGAAGTGAGGTGAGACACACAAGAACACCCAAACTTGTAGATAATACCTATTCAACCTAGCTTTGATGGCTTGATGATCAGAACTTGACTAGAGGAAGACAAAAAAAAAAAAAATTATATAAAGGAAATGAATGTAAATTGATACAATTTGATGAACTTGACCTATACTTATGGATGTAATAGTTCAAAATATCAACTGAGAGGGAAGGACTCTTCACATCAAGGATCAATTCTATCCCCTCTGTATACAGAGTTGATAGAGACAGGCAGCTAAGATTAAACATTGGCTACCTAAAATAGTGAGGATGGAAGGGGGGTTATAAAGCACAAAGTGACTGGCTTATAAGTTTTCAAGAGGGAGTTTAGTTTAAGAGTGTGCAGGGGAAGGTAGGATCCCCACTGAATAGTTTTCATCTTGTCTATACAGGTCTGGTGAAAGGAGATGGGGATAAGATTCTTATGATTCAATAGTGAGTAATTATTATCATGACAAATAGTGACTGTCACAATTGGAAAGGTAGAAGTTTTGTAACAAAAAGGGGAGAGTAGTTAATCTTACAGTCCAGGAACAGAGGACCCTAGGACCATCAAAGG